GGGCCAGGCAAAAAAAACCAGGTAAGCCAATTTTTTTACAATACAGGGTCCGGCAATAGTGCGTCGGGCATCTGTAGCTCCTAAAATAAAAAACTTAGCAATTTTGCAAATAATTTAACCTCTACAGGGTGACTCAAAAAAGCGTGAGTGGGCCATTATGATTTTTCTTAAATGTATATTAAACCCTGTATATTATTAAATTTTTGGCTTCCTTTCTGATCACATTACATAATCGTAATATATTTTTAAATAAGTTTTAATAGTTTCAGAGATATTAATTATAAATAAAAAAATATTTTTTTTTTAAATATTAAAAATACAAGAACTGTCCTGAAATCAAAATTATAACAGGTGTTTACTTTAGATAGTCTGTACATACTTTGCTATAAATATCGTAATCTTAAATCATATAGGGTGTTCAAAATTCTACGCCAAACTTTCTAAAATATAAAATAATATTTTTCTTCTCTATTTTAAATGGAACACCCTCTATATTATTCTTTTAATAGATGGAGAATTAAAAAATTAACATTTATTGTATTTTGAAAGGCTTCGCAGATACTCGCGGTATTATTTCATATGGCTTTTTTTTTAACACGATAAAATACGAGAGAAAAATCATTGGGTGGCTTTGATAAAAGTTTACTATGGAAACTGCCATCTGAAATATAAAACCGCGAATATTTGCGAAACCGTTAAAAATTTTGAAATACATACTCTAAAAACAGAAAATATTCGTTTTTTCATTCTCAATTACTAAAAAAAACATTAAAAATTTTGAAATACTCTAAAAACAGAAAATATTTGTTTTTTCATTCTCAATTACTAAAAAATAATATACAGGGTGTTCCATTTAAATAAAACGAAGAAAATTTATTTTATATTTTAGAAAGTTTAGCGTAGAATTTTGATCATCCTGTATGATTTAAGATTACCTACGATATTTATAGCAAAGTAAGTACAGACCATCTAATGTAAATATATAATACAGTTTTGATTTCTTTTTGGACAGTTCTTGTATTTTTAATAATTTTTTTAAAAAGGCTGAAAAATATGTATATATTTTTTTATTTATTTATTAATATCTCTGAAACTATCGAAATATATTTACTCATATCTTAGGATCGTGATGATATCGTGATCTGAAAGGAAGCCAAGAATGCAATAATATACAGAGTGTTCCATTTAAAAAAATCATCCCAACCCCCTCAAACTTTTGTGGGCCACCCTGTAGAAGTCAAAATATTTTCCTGAAATACATCCTAGTACATACTTTAGGTTAGCACTTAAACAAAATTTCCAAGTTTTTTATTCTAGGAGCTACAGATGCCCGACGCACTATTGCCGATCCCTGTATTTAAATATTCGGTTCAGAGTGAGTATAAGCATCTTTAGAAGCCGCTAAACTGGGAAAAAAGCAGGCAAGTCAAGCAGTACTATTTTTGTAACGTTTTGAACATTAAGTATTTTCTCAGTTTGGGAAGAAATTGCCTTAAGTACCTGTTTTTCCCCTGACACTTTATTTATTATTCAATTCTCTTTTTCTCTCTTGTTGGGCTCTTTCTCAATAGTTTGATATAGTCAAATAGCAATTAAAAGTTGGAAAGCAGTAAGAAGTAAGCAGATAATAATCATTCATCTTAAGTCTTAAATCACTAGGGTCTAGTTCTATTCCGAGAAATAGGAGCATTTTAACCTGACTTGAAGATATTAGGGAAATTTGAAAGGAATATACAAAAGGGATAAGTAATAAAATGTAACTAAATTACCTTTAAAGCTGAAGAAGTGTATTCATTGAGAATTTTAATGACCGTAATGAAGTCTAACAATTATTGATTGTAAAATGAAAGCTTTTCTGTACTGTCTCATATTGTAGAATTAACAAAGAACTTATCTTTTATTAACTATCAGACAGACTGGCAGAAAATATTTTGGCAAAAGTGGCATTTGTGATAATCCTTTTATATTAGTGTAGACCATTTTGGGAATATACGAGTATGGCCGATTTGTGAACCAAGTATAGCTTATTTTTGGTTAAACTAAACCTGTTCTCTAATTATTATATAGAAAAAGTATATTTATTACAGATAAAATGCAGAATTAAAAGACACTTTAAGTTGATCAAATAGACATTAATACTTTGCATCTTGAGCATAAGTACTGTAGCTTTTTTAAAATCGAAATATACACTATAAATCTATATAAATAAATAAATATGATCTCATTCGATAGTTATTATTATTTATTTATGAATTAATAAGTAATTTGTTGCTATATAATAATTGTTACTAACGTGGGATTATTAAATGAAACTATATGGATAGATATAGAGTTTGTAAAACAAAAATATTGTATACATACCTATTCAAAATGTTTAAAGATTTTTAATATAATTTTATTTTTAATTTAATAAATTGTTTGCTTTACCTAGCGTTGGTTGATATTCTTAGAAGAAATGAATGCCATGAACAAAGGTATAAATAATAATTAGGTATGCATTGGAAAATTTTATAAAAAATATTTATAAATACATATTCAACTAGAAATATATTAACTAGCTTCTAAAGGTGCGTACAGATACGGCTAGCGAACGAAGCCTGTCGAAGTGATTTGATTAAATTCTTCGGTGTTAGCTGTAAAATTTGGCGTGCCGTCCATATACAGCTATCATACAGCAAACTATGACGATCACATTATCACGCGATATCCTTGAAGCTATTTGCAGTAACACTAGAACAAATCTTCCGTTAACTGGATTGGACCAACAAAGCATTAAAAATAGATGTAGAATATCTTAACCATCTAAGATTCGCTGATGGCATAGTCCTGAAGAACTAAAAGAACAAATTAACGAACTAAACACAGCCAGCAACAAAGTAGTTCTCAAAATAAATTTAGCAAAAACTAGGTAATAGGTAATTTATAACGAACAAGTAGACAGAGAAGACATTCTAATAAATTACACAACACTGGACATAATAGAAGAATATATATATTATATATAAAATATATTTTAGTGACATTTTGGGCCTTTTGAAAGAGTATATTTGTAATATTACCAGTTTATTTTAAATATGATATAAATTTTATAAGTTAGATAACATTGTTTCGTCTATAAATATTTCAATATTTTATTCAAGTAGTTTGAGAAAAGAAAAAATGAAAGATATATCTAGAAAATCAAACACTAGATATACATATAATGAAATCAACTATAGAACTGATTTCCTGATAATTCAGTTCGAAAGAATATAAATTAAAAGATAATTTAAATTGAATTCCTATAGAGGTTATTACTATTGAATTTGTAAATCAGTAATAAATAATTTTATATATACATATTTGTACTGTTACCAATGTTGGAATTTTTTGTAGATCAGTGATCTGTCCTAAACAAATCCTGCATATTTCCCGTAGATTTGTACATTCTTCCTTTTTTTATTCCTAGATTGTCGAATATATCCTCTTATGCTTCTATCTGAGATCTTATTTGAAACTAAACCAAGAAAAGTTACTGAATCCTGTAAACTTTCGACAAAAATTTCTGTCAAACGCAAGGAGTCAGTTAGAATCAATGGAAAACTGTTGAAATTACTTACATGTACATTATTTTGGCAGTCGCTTGGTACTAAAATGATATTTTGGCAGTACATATCGTCCCATTGCTGCCAAGTCACTAACTTACTTTTATTACTTCCGAGAAAAATGCGTCTAAAGAAGAATTGCATTGCATAAAGCTGTTATAGTTAGTAACTATTCGGTATTAAAATAAAACATAAATAGCCAGAAATCGTAGTTAATGACTTTTGCAATCGATTCTCCGATTCAAAACATAGTTAGTGATTGAATTTGGTTGTTCGGAAAAATGTTAGTTAGTGACTTTTGGCAGCAATAGGACGATATACATTTTTAAATGAGACAAAAAATAATGAGATCTAAATGAGACAAAGGTTCCCCCTCGGTCAAAAGCTTCAAATAGTTACAAAGGAAATATATTTTAAGTCGAAGATATACAGACTTATTCTATAATTATTTTCTAAGCCTTTACCAAGCCTTCTGCTAATGTAAAAAGTTTGATAAAAAGAATCAAAATTTGACTAAATTTGACCATCTCCCCATTCATCTATATAATATAATGAAGTCAAGTTGATATTTTAGGACAGCACATCATAATTGTCAAAAATTAAAGGCTGTCCCACAGATAATTTGCTCAATGTAGTGTCACAATATCTTGTCATCCACATTCCTATACTTCATGATTATTAAAAAAATAAAGATATTTTTTTATAAAAGAATATGCGCTAAATAAACCAAATTGGAATTTTCAATACCAATTCGTACACTACTATATAGAGGTAGGTACATGTTCTATACATTAGGAGTATCTAAAGATTTTATGTACCTATAGATTCATCTGAATACTGGTACCCAATATGAATATATTATTATTATTAGGGATGTCAAAAATGTTTTTTTGGTCATATCTCTGAGAGTTTAAAAGCCACTGTGACGTCGATTTTTTTGATATATTATCTAAACGTTCTCCAACCCAGTGTGAGTACATGTCTATCGCAAAATCTCTAACGAGGGGTAGGGGACTCAAAATCTCACAATGTTTTCAAATTTCTATTTCAAAAATTAATTTTGTTTAAAAATGTTTCGGGAATCAGTTACTCTATCATGAGGCCCAAAAAGACGTGACTTATGTCTTTTTGGGTCTGATGATGGGAGGTAACTGATTCCCGAAACATCCCCCTTCTTAATCAAAATTAATTTTTAAAATAAAAATTTGAAAAGATTGTGAGGTTTTGAGTCCCCTACCCCTCTTTAGAGGTTTTGCGATTTTTGATATATGTATCTATGTATGGTATTATTTTTATGTAAAATTCTTACAAAAATATCTATAAAAACTGAAACTTATCCTATTTTCAAAAATAGCAAAATATATTTTGTATTTTGACCACACGCAAAATGCTCTATAGAATCCTAATCCTGTTTACCTTAAATTCATCGATCGATAATCCATAGTTTCAGCTCCATCACAGAAACCGTAAACAAACAATCCCAAACAGCATCAATGTCTGAATCACCGATAACGTCAATTTTTCTCAATCAAAAAATATTACACTCTTTACTTCACTTATTCTAAATATTGTCACAAGACGCGATCTCTGCCCGAATGCAGCATACAAATAAAAACACACGTAAACTCGGCTCTGCACACAGTCTCAGTTTCAACGCCACCTTCCTGCAACGGTACCACTTAAGAAGTGACGAAGTCGACGCCGAGATCCAGTGATCTCTGCGACTGATGCCGCTCTCCAATTGGCCGGCGCCGCAAGGTGGGGGACAGGTGGAAGAGCTGCGGCGCTAGACGGAGATGGAGCCGGCCTTACCTCTGTATATTCGGGTATGAGATGGAGAGAGAGGGAGCGATATAGGCGATCGAAGGGGGCGATCTTGCGTCTCCGGAGAAAGAGATAGCAGGAGCTGGGTATCGGGGGGTCAGGAGAGGAATGGTGGCGGTAAATTCATCTATCAGGTCGCCTGGCTCATTTTCTTCTGTCTCTCTGTCTTTTTATTTATTTTTCTTTGAATATAGATGGATTTTTAGGATTACTAACTCTAATTACATTGGTGGATTATCTCTATCTGATAGAATTAGGGGTAGTAAACTTAGGGTGTAGTAAGGTGCTAAAAGTTTGTATTCTTAGTGATGAGATTTGGAAGAGTTAATTTGAGAGAGAACAATTGATTTAATAAAATCAGGAAATATATTATAAATAAATAAATATAAATTTATGGTTTCACCATAATAATGTGAGTATAATATTTAATTAAATTATGCTAACTGGAAAAAATTGCAGATATCCAATCCTAAGATCGGAGACTGTTAATGCTTATCAATATAAGAGCAATATTCTTGCTAAATGACGCCAAAAAAGTTATTGATTAGGTTTTGGTAGTGATGAACGAGACTGATCTTGGTCATGGCTTTTTGTGGAAGACCAACACCGCAAGATCAAGCATGCAAGACTTATTTTAAAGTTTATATGATGAAAAAAATACTTATTTTTTGTTCCTTAGTTTATTACAAATAGTATTTTTCCGAATATTGTATAACATTTTAAAAAAAGAAATGCTGATTCAATACAAGATATTGAAAAATAAAAAATTTTGTTGTTAATATTTCGACAAATATTCTAATAAGTTCTACCAGTCAGACTGACATTTGAAATTCAAATAATTAGTTTTTTGACAGAAGGAAATAAATTGTCTGATGGTTTGACATTTAATGTCAAAGGAAGCTAGATAAAATCAAGAAAAAATTTCGCTTTAAAACTAAATCTTAAACAACTTAAAAACCATTTATTTTAGGTGCAGGAACATGTATAATCAAAAAGTAACGAATTAAAAAACCTTTTCACTAGTGAAATGAAAAAAGTGGCCTGTCATTTAAAAAAAATATTTATGATAATTTTTTAATCGTTCAATTCTATGACAGCTGCGGCCAATACTATATGACATTCGAACATTTTAATTTTTGAAATAGATAGCCACATGTCTTCTCTTTATGTCAGTGGCTGTGGTAATCGCTAAATTTGACGTTTGGTCTATACAAATTATTTTGACAGGCAGTTATTTTCCTTCAAAAATATTAATTTTTTTTTTCAAAAACGATTAATGTTAGCTATAGAGTGTTTGAGATCCAAATTCACAAAATTTTACAGAGAATTTAAGTATGTAATAAAAAATTGGGGTACCCATTTAAAATAAGAAAGTTGCTGTCAACTTCCGGTATTTCCGGAAGTGTCGCCATATTGAAAATATTTTTAATCGATAGATCTCGTTGTGAAACAGTTATTTACAAAAAATCTCCGATCTAGATATTGTAGTTCTCTAGAAACTTCTAATGCACGCTCAGCCTGGGACACCCTGTACACCTACCAAATCTCATTTTTTTTTATGAGGAAAAACAAAAAAGTTATAAGGGTGAGCCACTTTTGAGAAAAACCCGGTATAGATCGAAATAACACTGGATAATAAAGTTTGAAAAAGGGAATAGGAATATTTAGGGCTTTAACATCCTTATAAGGCACAGCCTAAAGATTGTTTTATGCAAGCAAAACCTTAGAATTCAAAATGCTATTACGAATAATATACCAAAAATTTCAAAAAAAAATAATTGTGGTACATCTCAGATCTGTGAGATCAAGGCAGATTTAGATACTGATAGTCAAAATCAAAGAACATCAGAAAAACGTACCAAGAGATGAAACAACGAAATCCCGTATCGTAGAATATGAATGGAGCAATCAACATAGAACATAGTGGGGCGATGACCAAATGTAGCCAGTGATCAGTAATTTAGCAGAAAATTCAATGAAATTACCTACATGCACTATAATCGGAAGATTTTTAGTCAGCCCACTACCCACTATTGATTATAAGAACATGTGGAAGACCCTCATCAGCGACCTGAAGCCATTTAGGCTATAATATGTGTAGTGTATCATCTAAAATCTACGATTTCGTCATATTGTCATTTAATTTAACATGATCCAGTGACTAGATATAACTACACCTGCACTATATAAATTATTAAAATTTCTAAAAATGGATAATTCCGAAAGTTTGAAATGTGTATTTTTTTATTCATTTTAATTGGCGCATTTCTTTAATATGTATCTATTTAATAAAATTATTCAATTTCCGCAGCAGCGTTTTCATTAAAATTAATACAAATCTAAACAAGATTACTGGTATTACGTTAGCGCGTTTTAAGAAACAAACCTCATCGAGCAAATATGAAAGTTTGTAATGATACTGGGTACACGCCGTTGACCACAGAGCTTGGAAAGTAGCCATACTTAGTCGATTATACCATTTTTCTCTCTTTGTTTAAAATAAAAATTATATAATGAGTGGAATTTAGCCTAACCACATGTAGAATCATGAAAAAAATGGCTAATACACTTTCATTTTCTAACAACTTAATTGCTAGCCCAATAATTATAAAATATTTACTATAGAAAAACTGTATCTAACTGAAACAGAAAATTTAAAAATAGTAGATTTTAAAAGATCGCAATAACCTATTCCATTACAACCTTTTCATTTCTATTATGGTCCTCTTATCTATAGATTAAAATTTCCAGTCATATTCTTTCGCGCAAAATGTATAATATTTTGGAGACTGAATCTTCCATCTTTGCGGTTTGCTTATCGTCGCATATACAGGGCGTCGTAGAAATAAGTGCGTGTGTTTTAATTGGTAGTAGGTATAGTTCCACCCCAGAAACGCGCCTCTTTTTTTGAAACGAGGTTTTTGGCGAAAAAAAAATCTGAAAATTTTATATTTTTCTTGACATTTTCCGGAAAATATTGAAAAACTTTTGAGTGCCGCTTATTCAGTGTCCGGAAATTGGTTTATAGTGCTTCGAGAGAATGCAATGTTGCCACCTCCTACGTTATCCACATTCTGTATGTTTATAAGTTATAAGTTTACATTTTTAAATTTCTACACAAAAATAGTTAAATTAATTTTATTCACTGTAGATTTTTTAATTACTGTAGATTACTGTTAAGTATAGTGCAACCTCTCCTGTATTTTAAATACCTTTTTTACAGTATAGTAAACTGAAATAATGAAGCTAAATAGGTTTTCAACAACTCTATTAGATATAAATAGTCACCGTTTGGCTTACATTTAAACTGATCAGCTGATTGAATTTTTAGTTTATCCAATTCATTTGAGATTTTACTCAAAATAGTGAACCTCCGTCAAAACTAAAAAAATAGACAAATGTAAGGTAAGCCTGTAAAACTACTTTTATTATTCAAATAGAAATATCAATTATTTTGGTGTTTATTCACATAAACAAGAGTTTAAGAAAAACAGCGGAGTTTAAATTCCCAAAAAATAATCCTAAATAATTCAGATGGCATATGAATTATATTAATGTATTTTGTGTCATATACTGTGCTGTCAAGAATCCCCAATACACGTGCTGTCAAGAATCACAGTGAAATGAAGTGTTGTTAAAGGTAAGGTACGGTTTTAGGTAAAGCGATAAAACGACGCTCTATATAACATAATTACATTGATCTGCTATCTATCTATCTATATCGATAGATAAGTATCCCGTTTTCTAATGTTATAGGTAAGTTTTTTACTTTTAATGTGAATTTTCTAAGTCGTTTTAAAATCTTTCCTGTCGATGTGTCAACACTGGGCGTCGAACAAGCGAGATTCTGCTAATTCTGCGGCTCTCAAAATGTTGCCATTATTTTTTTAAAATTTTCAAATTTAAATAACTCGTTATTATCAATTTATTTTAAAAATAGTAAAAAGAAAATATGTTTCTTTTGGCCAGATCTACTACCCTTTAAAATACTTGCACTTATTTCTGGGACAAACTGTATAGAGAAGCAACACATTTGCCTGGCCAACGCACGTCATAGAATGTGATCTTATTTATTAATTAATCCTATCAGCTTTAAATGCTTATCGAGCTTGCAATGCTCTGTTAGATCCACTATAAAATTTTGACAGTATTCCTGTCTTTGATTATTAGATACACCGAAAACTTTAGCGAGTATACTACTATGAAATGTTTCGCCTGCTTATGTCATAGTGAAATTATTCATTTTTTTAATTGATTTTGCAATCTATACTAATATATAAAATCCTGAAGTGACTGACTCACTGATTAATCAGGATCCTGCTCAAACCACTCAACGTAAGGAGCTTAATTTTGGCGTACAGGTTGATTCTAGGGTGTAGAGGTTCAATAAGAAGGGATTTTTCGAAATTCCAGTCCCAAGGGGGTGAAACCACCCTTCAAATATTACAATATTTAAAAAACGATCAAGTTTTCGAAAAAACGCTTAAACACGTATATTTTATTTTGTTTTTTTCACATATTTTAAGATTCTTTAAAAATGTATACAGGGTGTTTCGAAAAATCTGGTCATTGATTAATCACGATCCTGCAAAGCGCTTGTCGTAAAAAGCTGATTTTTGGAAAACGATTTGACTTTAGGGTGTAGAGGTTCGATAAGAAGGGATTTTTCGAAACTCGAATTCTAAGGGGGTGAAACCACCCCTCAAATATTAGAATATTTTTTTATTTAGAAACCGGTGAGTTTTTCGGAAAAACTCTTAAACACGTATATTTTATTTTGTTGTTTTACATATTTTAAGACTTTTTAAAAAATTATACAGGGTGTTTCATAAAATATGACCATTGAGTAATCACCATTCTGCTTAAAC